GACCCCGCGCCGCGCGCCCCGGGCTGCTGAGTGTGGCATGCGGGACTACGACGAGGTGACCGCCTTCCTGGGCGAGTGGGGGCCCTTCCAGCGCCTCATCTTCTTCCTGCTCAGCGCCAGCATCATCCCCAACGGCTTCAACGGCATGTCCGCCGTGTTCCTGACTGCGACCCCCGAGCACCGCTGCCGGGTGCCCGACTCCGCGAACCTGAGCAGCGCCTGGCTGATTTCTCAACAGAAACCATGCAGGCCAGAAGAGAGTGGCAGGAAATATTTAAAGTGATAAATAGCAAGAACCTAATCGCCAACTTCTCGGCGCTCGGGCTGGAGCCGGGGCGCGACGTGGACCTGGAGCAGCTGGAGCAGGAGGACTGCCTGGATGGCTGGGAGTTCAGCCAGGACGTCTACCTGTCCACCATCGTGACCGAGGTGGGTTCCAGCCCCGCGCTTGGACCGAGGGCCGGGGTGTGGGGAGGTCCTTCGCAGTCTTTGAACTCACGCACTTCATCTGGGCAAAGTGCGCGCTGTTGTCACTCCTATTAGCCCATCCCACTGCGCGCTGGTGATGATCATCCATCCTCCGGCCGGGTGGCTTGGGAACGCTTTGCGCGGTGACTTCCAGCCAGGGACGCCCTCTCACAGCAGAGTGTCAAACGGTCCATCTGTCCTCACGGCCAGCTTGGGGAGGGAGCCAAGAAGGCCCTGGTGGCCCGGGCCGCACGAGGTGCTCTAAGGCCCTGAGTGGTCAAAGGCCTCCTCTAGTTGGGATGAGAGTGTGGAGGAGCAGATCCAGGGCTTGGGACACGGGTCCGTCGCCGTTTTTCTGCCATTCTCTTGGCATCAAAATGCTCCCTTTCTTTCCCGAACTTTTAAAGTTAAGGGAAGTTTTATGTGTATGAAACTGTTTCTTGCTACCCACCCTCACCCCAAAATGACAGTCTGAGCATGCCCTCTAAGGAACTGTTTACTTTTTGCTGATAGTTGGTTATCAACCTGTTAGGATCCATGCATCTGAAGATCTCTTCACAGTGACTTGTTGCCCAGAAATGTTGTCACAAAGCATACAGCTGTCGTTCCTAGGCAGTGGGGGAGAAACCTGTCTGTCTCATTCCCCAGCCCCCTGGGGTTTTGTTCTGGGTGGCTTTGTCCGTCCCCTGGCGACCCCCGCGTCACTAGAACTGAATGTATAACATGATGTTAATGGATGAGTGTGGATGTGCTTTGCATCTTCCTAAGACACCGGCGCTAACTGCTTGGAGTCTCAGCACAACTAAGCAAGCAGGGCAGTGAGAGAGCCCTCCTTGATGGGCACCAGGACTGCAGGGTCAGGGATTTGCAGATTAGGGACGGCTTCCCGAAAGAGGAGGCCTCTCGGTGAGTCTGGGGTGTTCAGGTCGGCAGATGCAAAGTCTGAAACAGCAAGAAACGGCCTAGAAGGAAGGCAGAGTTCAGAGGGGCAGGGGAGGGCTGAAGGGGATCCCCACTGGGATCTCAAAACTAGTGACATGGCATCATTCTAGTGTCCTGAGGTGTTGACAAGAGAGACTAATGGAGGTAGCTGGCTGTGCTTTGTGGCCTAAGATTCCAGGGAGAATCACAACTTTCTGACATCACAGATCCTCAGCCCTAGCCTCGCAAGCAAGTCCGTCACCTGCCTGGAAGCCAGTGAGAGTGTGAAAGCAGAGACTGTCCATCTCCTCTATACAGGAGTCCCTACAAAGTCTGCTGCTAGCTCCTCATGGAAGGGGGAAGTCAGAAGAAGCTCCTGGCACCTCTGGATTTTACCCGGACCCCTCGTGTCCCTTGACTTTCTCTCGTCATCTGCTCTTGTTTTATTGCCTTCATCCTGCCCTGGGCTGAGAGCGGTGGTGGTCCTGATGAGCTCCTGCCAGAGGGGTCCTTAGCTTAAGTTCCTACCAGTGTCAGCTTTTTCATTTTTATATTTAGCCTACGTATTTTACTGTCTTAGCAGTTTCATAAGAGCTGTGTGCCCTTTCACCTACTGACAGGTTGTCAGTCTTTGCTGGGAGGCCAAATTAATACCTTACTTAGCCCTTTGTTTGGAGATGCTGGAATGCCTGACTTGACATTCAGAGCTGCTTGTTCCTCAAGCTGTTGCATTAACGTTCTGACCCATTTTTCTAAGGCCCATTTTCTTTTCCACTCAGACCTGGCGTGCTGACCACTGCAGCTAGTCCCCAGGTCTGCCCTCTCCCCCACATCATATGCAGAGTCCACTGATACTGAATTCTTAGTCGTTTTTTTTCAACAGAAGATGAAAACTTCAGGTCTCCTGTGTGATTGTTGCCTCTTTTGAAATTAAAGCGTGTATGTGTAAGTACTAAAGTTGGTGTTGGATTTACATCTTTGCTTCTCCTGCAGGTCCTAACATGATGCTGGATACAGAGTGTGGGTATGCAGGAAAATTGTTGTTGAATGGATTAATGGATAACTTAAGAACTATTTTCTAAAGTTTGAGAATTGAGGAAGAAACGGATAGTTTAATTCATAGCAGGGAAATTTGAGAGTGGTTGAAAAGCATTGACTGAAATATTTTTAAAGGAAATGTAGCCAGAACCGGTTTGGCTCAGTGGATAGAGCGTCGGCTTGCGGACTCAAGGGTCCCGGGTTCGATTCCGGTCAGGGGCATGTGCCTTGGTTGCGGGCACGTCCCCAGTGGGGGGTGTGCAGGAGGCAGCTGATCGATGTTTCTCTCTCATTGATGTTTCTGGCTCTCTATCCCTCTCCCTTCCTGTGAAAATCAATGAAATATACTTTAAAAAAAAAAAAAAAAGGAAATGTAATCTCCCATCCCAGGGACTGGGGCATGTGACAAGGGATTGGGATTGGCAGAATGAAGGGGACACTGTGAAATGAGATTGCTCTCCCACGTTTCAGGAACAGTTTGGTGGTCCACGTGCTTCTAGGCTGGCCCCTCAGTCATCCCCGGAGTTGGAGAGTCGGCCACCCCACCTTGCTGTGCTGCTCCAATCCCCGAGTGCTTCTTTTTTTTTTTTTTTAATATATTTTATTGACTTTTTACAGAGAGGAAGGGAGAGAGAGATAGAGAGTTAGAAACATCGATGA